ACACCCTGGACAGGTCGCCATCTCAGGGCAGACGAGTCATAACATGAGATATAATTGTATTTAATATAATTCATTTCAGCATAAGTAAGGAAACAGATCTTCTGGAGCACATCCATCAGATTTGTATGTCAGTAGAATGAAATGTTTGCCTGTTTTCTTTTCTTTGCAAAATCCCTAAAGCTGTGTGAATTTTATTGGAGAGTATCTATGAACTTCCATACTGGTTGTAGGAGAAAAATGGAAATAATGTGCATGGTGAGCCTGGTTATGAATGTGTGCTGTGGAGGCGGAGAGCCAAATGCAGGTGTTTGTGTGCACTATGAAAGTAAGTTTATAGGTGAGCACTCACCTGACTCACTTGATGAGAGCTCGGTAGGGGCTGCCATAATTTTGTTTGACTGCTTCAGGTCGTTTTTCCTACAAATTAATCAACTGATCTGACGTTGGTTTCTACAATCATCCCTGCTGCACTGTCATAACTTGTGCTGGTGCTAATAAACCAAACAAAAAGCATTTGGGATGTCAGCATATCTGCAACAAACTTTTGGGGTGCTATGAGAGCTATTTGGGAGTGGTGGGTCCCCGAACAATACCCCTAACCCTCGATTACTTCCCAGGCACTGCACAGTGGCAGCCCACTGCTCCCTAAGGGGATGGGTTAAGATGTAGAAGTGAATTACTCTATTGTAAGATCAATTATTCTCAATAATTTTTTTATTAAGTGCGTCTCAAATAGGGCAACGAACGAAGACCCGACCCAACTTTCAACGGCTAAAAAGAACTGGTTTGAAGCAGCGATACTGGCGATGAAGCTCATATATTCAATGAGATTTCAGGTCTAGATCTCTGACCAGGCCATTTTAACTCATGAATATGTTTGATCTAAATAGCCTTATTGCATCACTTCCTGGTAATTTAAGTTCAGTATCATGCTGGAAGTTAAATCCCTATCCTGGTTTCACATCTTTTGAAGCTTCTGCAGCTTTTCTTGGAATAAGAAAACTATATTATTTAGTTCTGAATAAGTCTTCCTGTTCCTGCTGCAGAATAAAAACATCTGATTTAGGTTTATATTTTTAATCTATTACCGGTAATTAAATTGAAATCTGTTAAGAAATGTATCTTCTATTAATTTTGTAATTATTTTTCAAAGTTGAAAAAGGGGCTAATTGTTATGGGTTGAATAGCTGAGATGTTCTCATCTTCCACAGCATGTCTCCTTTCCTCACCATAGAGTCTGAGGCAGGTCCAGCCTATCAGAGCTCCTCCAGGATAGGTGTTAAACAAACATCTGTAGCAGCCTTCATCCTCCTCCGTCACCTTCCTGATCACCATGGAGCAGCTCTGAAGATTTTTGTGCTGAAAATCCATCTTCTCCTTCAGATCATCGTTCATTCTACAACCGAATTTCTTGGTGTAGGTGGCGAGATTCTTCTCTCCATCAGGGAGGACTTTCTGCCAGGTGATCTGGAGGACATCTTTTTCCTCCGTGAGCTGACAGCTTAGAGAGGCTTGGTCTCCTACTGCTGTCCACACGGTCTGCTGGGTTTGAATCAGAGCCTCACCTGTATGAAGGAGATCAGGAGACTGTAACCTGAACCTGGCTTTTACAACCACCTCATAAAACCCTTACACTGATTCAAGGTTTCACAGTTACTAACCACAACATATTTTACTTACTCTTTCATTTTTATTTATAAGTGTTGCATGCATTTTGAGGATTTAAGACTATCTGAGTAAATCAGGTACAAATAAAGCCCCAAATTAAATTTTTTTGTTAAAACAAATTTAAAAAAAACCCCAAAAGAATGAATAAAGCTCCTTAATAAGTACAGTTTTCAACACTAGTCCATATTTGTCTCTTGCATATACTTTAAGTCTGTGGTTGAAAAACGATAAGATATTGAAAAGTTCAGTATTACTGGACATGTGTTCTGTAACAATGAAATGAAATAATCTGCTGCTACTTACAAAGCATTTCATTTTGATAAGAACATGGCTTCTCATTGATTATCAACATAGAACTATGACATAAAGATAAATATATATGTATATGTTTATGTTTATCTTACCATTAATGAAAATTCCCGACAGGATGAAAAAATATAGGACAGCAAAGGTTTCCATGATTGCTATGTGTGCGCCAGAATTTGAACTGTGGGAGGTGTAACTGGAGGGGCGGTAGGTACGTATGGCAGGCCGTTTTGACATTTAATAACTTGACTGTAATCTAGATGTCTCAAATGAATTTCTTCCTATTCATAATCACCATTGCATGAATCTAAAATAACATTCCTCCTATCCAAAATAAACATTTTATATATCTTAAAGTAATAATTACTAGTACAAATGACATTCCAATTTATGTGTATTGGGCTTTTAATTCCAGATATGTAAAATAACATTCTTTCTATCTAAAATAAAAATGTTGGATGTCTAAAAATGAATCAGATCTCCATAATATAATTAATACTAGTCATAATGATAATTTCAGATATCAAAAATTATTTAGATTCTAGATTTATTGTAATTGTTATTTACATTAAAAATATATATTTTTACAAGTAGAAATGTCATTACAGATATCAACTAATTATTTTGTTTAGTTAAATTAGAATTCCAGATATCAGAATATTAATAATGCCTATCCAAAACGCAGCTTTAGATAGCATGCTATCTATAATAGAAATATGACTAGCCAGCCTGCCAATTTTATGTTAAAACTTAACCCCATTATTCTTTTGAAAGTTAGTCAAAAAATGCCTGTATGTTAAATTGGATTTTGTATAGGCATTATTAAAATTTAGATATCTGAAATTCCAATTCAACTAGTCATATTTCTATAGTTGATATCTGTAAGGAAATTTCTACTATGAAAAATATATATTTGATGTCAATAATTGGATTTCTGGATATTTAGAATATTATATCAGATCTTGATGTCTTAAATTTTCATTTTGACTAGTAATAACTGTATTGTGGAGATCTAAAATTGAAGAACATGCATGTCAGAATTCTGTTTTAGATAGGAAGAACGTTATTTTAGATATCTGGAAGTAAACACACAATGCATATGAATAGGAAACGTGATTTAATTTGTAGTAGTAAGAATTACATTTAAGATATCTGAATTCTTTATTTAGATAGGAAGAATGTTATTTTTTTATGTCAGAAAAAAAATGCATTTGAGACACCTGAAATATATATTCAGTCAAGTTAATAAATGTGAAAACGGTAACTTAGAATTTGTAAAGAATTCTAGGTATCTGAAAGTTTAATTTTACTAGTACATAATTTTTTTAATTTTACGTTTTGCTGGCAAATATGTAATTAAAGATACCTATATTTGAAATTAGACAAGTAGGAATGTAGTTTTGACCAGAAGAATCTTATTTTAGAAGAATCTTCTTTTATGGAACAACAAATGGAACGTAAGAGAGGACAGCGCTTGTAATAAATGCTAAAACAACATGCCACAGCCTTTCAGCACTTTACTTTCACTTTGCAACTTTAACCCAGTTGGATGGGTTCCCTTTCATAGCAACGGTTGGATTTATTGCGCCATCTCCAAAAGTCATAGTGCTTGATACCAGCAGGTGGCAGTAGTGTAACACGTTTGGTTTAGGGGTAGAAGCTTCAGTAACATGTAGCCCACAGTGTAACCATGGGATACAATTCCACAACTTCCTGAACTTTAGCCAACTCCTTTGTGTTTTTAAAGGTTTGAGCGCACAGGTTCAAGCGTGCAAAATCTACAGAATGTGGAATGTACAGTACAGTTGTTGTAACAGAGAAAGAGGAAGTTTAATTTTACCACTTAAAACTGATTTCAAATCTGCAACTAAAATTTATTTTGTTTTCGCACAGATACGGTAAAATATTAATATTTTGGTCATTAGAGTAGAATTTTTTTCTTGAGCACAGGCACTGAAGCTTATTTACTTTTATACATACGCAATAAAGTTACTAAAATAAAAAATAAAAAACATATTAGCCATATACAAGACATGCCTTAAGTAAGGAGGAAACAAAAATACACATTAGAATGTAACATGACAATGACCTTAAGCACACAGCCAGGATAACCAAGGAGTGGCTCTAGAGAAGCATATGAGGGTTCTGGCATGGCGTGGACAGTCCCCAGACCTAAACCCAATAGAGAATCTTTGGAGGGAGTTCAAACTCTTGCTGTTGATAATTAAACAAACACATTTTTAAGCCTGTCCAAACGGATCAATCCCAGCATGTCCAGCTGTCAATAATTATACAAAAGTGACACTTTAAATAAATTAAGTATTTTGAGATATGAGGTATTTTGAAATACCCAAAACATACATTTTTAAATGCCTTGTGTTTTGCCATTGCAAATGCATGTTAAAAAAACAAAACAAAAAAAAAAAAACTGAATGTATCACCCTGAATCTGTACACAGCGCTTTTTTCTAAAAACAGGTATAAACCATAGACCGTGACCAGTTTGATAAATTAATGTTGATTAAAAGAAGGATCATGGGATGAATTTTGATCCTTTCATGTATTCCTATTTTTCTCTTTTCTTTTTTTGGTTTTAATACATATCAAACACAGTATTTCTTTCTTTGAATAAATGTCTCATCATCATGCATTAAGCAAATATGGTATCGTTTGGGCAATTTAGTTTATTTTATTCCTTCTAGCTTTAAACTTCAGATTTGCTTTCATTTAGTCACAATGAACAGTTTTCCAGTATAAGCAGTTCTTTTAAAGTAACACCACAGCATCTCAATGGGAATTCAGATAAGGACTTTGACTAGGCCGCTCCAAACTCTCTGTTTTGTTTCTCTACCGCTGTTCAGAGGTAGATTTGCTGAAAGATTTATTAGTAGATAACATAATTCATGGTTCAATTTATCACCGCAGGTCTTTCAGGTTGTGAAGCAGCTAAACAACTCCTGGCCATCACACCACCACCACCGTGTTTATACTGTTGGTGTGAATATTTTTCATTTGAAATGTGGAATTTCTTTTACGCCAGATATAATAGGAAACATAACTTTTAATAATCAAATTTTATTGATCTCACATTGGAGAAATTTACCTCTGCATTTAACCCATCCCCTTGGGGAGCAGTGGGCTGCAACCATGGGGCACCCAGGGAGCAGTGTGGGGTTGAGGGTCTTGCTCAGAGAGCCAGAGTGGCAGTCTGTGGGAGTGGGGCTCAAACTCAGAACCTTAGGACTCTAAGCTCTATGCCCTAACCACTAGGCCACCACTACCCCTGTGGATTGTTATGTCAATACACAGAGCATTTTCAATCTTTGCAATCATTGAGTTATGTTCACCAAAAATTGAGCTGAGCCTTATGGTGTTAGGATTCCAGTTTGTGGGGCTTGTTTTGCTCTTTTGCAGTTCCACTGTGCACCCACCAGATGGTGCCATTGTCCTCTGCTGGTTTGGAGGGCTCCCTGTTCTTCTCACCTTACACCTGCAGCCTATTGGGTCATCACTTCCTGAGGAGTACTTAAGGAGCAGACTCTCTTCACTTCCTCGCCAGAGTGTTTGCCAGTATTGGGACTTACCAGATCCACTGGATAAGCTGGCCTTTCAAGTCTGGAAGGAAAACACTCGTCACACTGAGAAAAGGAGACAGATCTCCTCATCTGAAAGCTGAGCCCTTCAGGAACCAAGTGTCAGTCTGCTAAGCTGCTCCTCAGGATCTCCATAGTCTGCCTGTCCGCCCTCCGACGAACTAAACCTTCAACAGACCAAGCCTCCACAAACGGGATCTAAAGAAACCCTCCCCCACAACCACAGCGAGTCCAAGTCACCTTTTTGGTAGTGATGGTGAGATGAAGTCTCATGAGGCATTGAACCGTTTGGCCAAATTGCTTCAACAATCCCCACAGTTCATGATGCTTCATGTGAACATGTTACCACTTACTGGTGGACAGCAGAACTACAGTTTGTAATAAAATCTGTGATTTTTTTTGCAATTGTTTTTCTTTTTTTTTTCCCTGTTAAGTTCCCTTGAAATTGTTAATGGTTGATGTGTATAATAAAATTTTTATACGTTTTTTTTAAGTGTAAAATTTCTTAGAACAATCATTTAAGGTGCACAGTTTTTCTGCCATTTTAATGAAATAAACTCAAGCAGACAGTGAAAGTGTTTGTGCAAATTGGGCAATGATGAACAAAATGAAAGGTGTTAGTCGTTTTTATTCAAACATGATAGCTTTTCCATGTTTTTTGGTTTTAATCAGGCTGGAAGTTGTGTTCAACCAATCTTTTGACTAAACCGACCTAATTTTCCCAATCTATATTTTTACTTGGGCAAAACAATGGAAAGTCTCAACAGCCAAAATAATTAAGTTTAATCCCAACTTTCAAAAGAGAGAGACAGGTCTCAAACCAACAACCTCTAGCGCAGGGGTGTCAAACTCATTTTCTCTGAGGGCCACATCAGCGTAATTGCTGTCCTTAAAAGGGCCAGATGTAACTTATAAATGTAACTAAATGTAATTGAATGTAATGTAAAATAAATGTAACTACTCCTTAATGTTAAATAACTCATTATTTATTATAACTTATTCAAGTGACAATTACAGTTNTGAGTAGATTATATAAGAGGTCAATGTTTTCACTAGTTTATGTGAGAGCTTTTTACTAGTGTTTGTGTGAGGTTTTCAGTATATTATATGGAAGAGTGTAATTTAATATGTGTATATGCAAGTTAATTCTGATTTATGTCCCTGGGGGCACCTCATAACAGTGTGTAACTTTTAGCGACATCTATCTATAATAGAAATATGACTAGCCAGCCTGCCAATTTTATGTTAAAACTTAACCCCATTATTCTTTTAAAAGTTAGTCAAAATGCCTGTATGTTAAATTGGATTTTGTATAGGCATTATTAAAAATTAGATATCTGAAATTCCAATTTAACTAGTCATAGTTCAATAGTTGATATCTGTAAGGACATTTCTGCTATCAAAAATATATCTTTGATGTCAAGAATTGGATTTCTGGATATTTAGAATATTATATTAGATTTTGATATCTTAAAGTTTCATTTTGACTAGTAATAACTGTATTGTGGAGATCTAAAATTGAAGATGACAGTCAGAATTCTGTTTTATATAGTAAGAATATTATTTTAGATATCTGGAA